ACTGACAGAACTAGAGGTAATGGCCACAAACCGAAGCACCAAAAGTTCCACAGGAACTTAAGAAATTTTTCCTTAACAGTGAGGGTGACAGAGCGCTGGAACAGGCTGCCAAGAGAGGTTGTGGAGTCTCCTTCTCTGGAGATCTTCAAAACCCGCTTGGACGCAGTCCTGTGCCACGTGCTCTAGGTGACCCTGCGTGTGCAGGGGGGTTGGACTCGATGACCTCTATGATTCTGTGATTCTAAATATAAGCCATGTAAACAGGAGGAGATCCTTTTTTTTTTTTTTTTTTTTTTTTTTTTTTTTTTTTTTTTTTGCCAGTTTTCATAGGTGAATTCAAGTCTAGAAATGTTTCAAATGATTTTATTTTCAAAACAGTTACCCAAATAGAACATCCCTTTTGGTATGTACTACAATGAGGAGGTATCAACCTAAAATGAAATGAAGGTGTCAATTTATTCAGGGAATGGAGTGCCAGCAAAGATCCATGTGTTTGCTCTGCAGAGCCTTCCTGTGAACTCCTGTCCCTCACTGAGGAGTACTTACTCTTGCAAACAATCCCACACAAATCAGTGCTTCCCTTCCTTAGATGCCACATTAAACCACTGTGGCAGTAGCTGCTGCGATGGGATTTCGAATCTGTTAGTAGTGTGCATAAAAAGGATGGTCTGTATTTATGGAACAAATGACGAAAAACAAAAACAGACTGACATTTCCCCTAAGTAACTGCAGACCGCACAGCCAGCGTATTTAGACACTCTAAGGCAACAATGTTGGATCAGTGCATGAAACTACAGAAATCAAGTTCAAGGTACTGCTTTTTTCTTTTTGCGAAGTAAAAATATTATGATGTAGGTTCTCTTTTTATTCTGTAGGAAGGAGCAATATTAAATGCCAGTATTGCCACCAGCAGTATTACGTACTTCTCCATTCAATTAATCCCCTAAAATATGCAGACTCTGGCTGGAGTGGAACACTTCCCTATATTTAAGAAAAATCTATCTGATAACACTTATATATATATTAAAAATCCACATGTACATTTTTGCAGACTTGCAGTGTCAATAACTTTTCATAATTCACTACAAAAATGCAATTCCCCAACTGCTACCCTATGCTCCAACTACTACAGGCTTATGGAAAATTTACAAATTATTTCCTAGAATTGGATATATTGCATATCCTGCAAGTTGTCTAGGACTCCAATCCTGTTTGAGCAGCAGTTAAAATTAAATATTTGTGTTTAATACTGATATCAAAATACAGATTTTAATAATTTACTCTTAGAAAGCATTTCTATTTATAGCCTCTTACAGAAAATAAACAATTCATCTGATTATCAGATAAGTTCTCAGGTTTTCCAGTTCCAAGGTATGCAGAGGTCTCCATCCTGCAGAACGGAGTAGAAATGGGAAATGCAAAGGTGCATGCCTTGCAGGTAAGGCAACGATTCTTGCAGCAGTCGCTTACAACAATCTATCATCTGTGCACTGGAAACACTGGGTTCCTTATACAGGCGATCCAAAGAAAATTTCTCCGTGGAAGTACTGATTAGCTCCTTCTCTGTAAGCATCATCCTAGGAAATGAAGATGACACATGGCAAAAAAATTAGGACATACTCTCTTTAAAAATATATTATATAGATATCCAACAATGGGCGTCAGGTATAGTCAACTGATGTGTATTAATAACTTAACTACAGGAAGTACCGAAAATCCTGTAATCACAACTTACAGGTTTTCTTCTTCTCTATTCAGCCCATACAAAAAGCAGTTAGACAGACCACATAGCAAATTTGAGCTTCTAAGAGCATTAAGAGTAACCGAAACTGTGGAACATCAGATGCAGAGATGGTTCAGCTTGAGCAAGACACACTAGCTCAGGCACCATGCCACCTCATAGCTGCATTTCTTCTGGAGCCAGCTGGGCAGTAGAAACTCAGACTGTTCTCCTCTACTCGGAGCCCCTGTTAACAGCCACTGCTGTGAGCTGTGCTGCTTACTCAAAGTATGTAAGAATTAACTGGGTACACTGGAGGGGGAGAGCAACCAGAAGTACTAAGTGAGTTCTGTTCATGCAAACTTTAAATGGCAAGGAACTTTAAACTTCAGTAAAAAGACAAGGGGAAATATGACATATCTATGAAAAAAAAAAAAACAAAGCACAGGTGATAAATACAGAGGCCTCTAATTCCAACAGCACAAGAGCAAGAGAATGCCATCAGGCTGTAGGTCTACAAAACAAGAGCAGCTCTTTCCTCCTTGCCATATATGTGTTACACTTCAACTACTCAATTTTCTGCCACAGGATATTTTAGAGCCACAAAATGTCAATTCACTCAAAATGTAATTAGGAAAAAAAAAGCTCTACTGCATGCTCTTCATGTGAGATGATAGTCTGGCTTCAAGGCATTATAGATGGTTAAAAACTGGCAAGGAATGCAGAGTTTTTTTAAAGGTGAGATATCGAGCTTAGTACTTTAGAGGATGATGAGAGCATCACAACTCTTCCACTGCTAATTTCATGACGATACCAAAAGAAAGGTATTCTACAGAATGCAATCCTAGTATGGGATATAACTGTTGAATAACAACTTATCTTCAAAGCTGGGTATAGTTTCAAACACACAGAGGTTATGGGAAAACCCCAGCAATCCTCCATGTCCTATCAAAATCTGTTTCTCTGATCAAGTTTCCCAAGCAACAAGATCTAAAACCATGAAGTCTTCAGTAAACTTCATGTCCTCAATTGCCCTCCACCAAGTCTGTATACCATACACAAGTTCATGACAAAATGTGCCACTTCAACAATTCAATAAAAGCTATTTTTTAAAAAAAAAAACAACCTTTCACTAACAATCTCTAAAGGACAACTCCTCGTTACCCATGATAATGTTTTACGTAAAAAATTAATAAATAAATAAAAAAATCACAGCATCTCTACTTCATGCTGTTGAGCCTCAAAAACCCATACATTGCACAAGCTTGCAAACAAGAACTCATAATTCTACTGCATGGGGAAAGGTAATTTTATAAAAAGAAGCCCTGAAAGAGCTAGAATACATTCTCCAAACTTCTTTTATTATTACAAATAAAAATATGACATACACAAAGAAGATTTACATGAAATAAGCGTATCAAGTTACATACTTACTCTTCCTTTCTTTTCAGATTCTCTCTTGCTTCTTGTGCTTTGGCAATAATAAACCATTGAAGAGTGGCTGGATCACAAGCTGTTGGGATCATGAAGTGTCCTAACTCATGCAAGCTTGGTGCATATCTATCACTGTAACGAAACATGGTGGAAGTTAAAACCAAAATAACATTTTTGCACCACAATATTTACATGAAGTACTTTCAGAACGAAATCTGAAGATAGAGGTAAGAACATCAATTGATCATATCAGAATAATTCATATAAAGATCAAAGTTGGTTCAGGAGAATACAGAAGCATCTCACATCGTTCAGGTTTTTCTAACATTTCAAAAACAACTCTGCCAACATAACTCAAAAATATATACACCACTGACACAGTTGACAGTTGAGGCTACTGCACAAAACCTTTGATTTATCCCAGTCCTGTACTATAAGACAAAGACAGAATTTTGACAAGCTAACTTCACTCAAATATGCATGATTCCCTTCAACCTGACCTCTTCCAAACCCATGAAAAGTCACTTACCACTGTTAGAAACAAGGAATTCCAGATATATTAAAGTTTATTGTAAGACAAGTATTTTTTTTATTAGTGAAACCAATAACTAATGTAACAAAAAACAAAAACAAAATACCAAACAAACACTTTCCTGAAAATACATACTTTTCTAGAATCATCTGCAAGCCTCGCAGACTGCGAGGATGAAAAGGTAGCCTGCTGTCAAGCAGTTTATTATAGAAGGAGTCCAAATTGTCAAAGTGCTCTTCCAGTGTCAACAGGGGTTGCAGCTCTTCAATGTAGATTACTTGTATGCCTCCCAGAAGGTGGCTTATCTGATCCTCCAAGAACAGCACCCTTTTTTGAAGTTTATAGTAATTTGGCAATCTCTCAAAGACCTGTGCACATACACAAAAACACTTCCTATGTTACACAGCATTTAACTTAAAATTAGGAGAAGGGGGGAAAAATAAATCACAAGGCATTTCAAAAGAAGAGATTCTCAGCAGTGCAAACAGAGAACCCAAGTTAAAAAAAAAAGTCCAAATATTTCCCCCAAAGGGCAACCCTTTGGGGCATGATATAATAGAATGAGCTTATAAGCATTTTTAATATTTATACTACAAAGAAACTGAAAGGTCATAACAAGATTGACAGATGTCCTTTATATCTGTGTATATACATATATATATAATATATAGAAATTAACAGTTCCAGATTCAAATGTATGTATTTTTGTACATATACAAAAATATTCTTGCTTGAACGAGTCAAATGATTCAAAAGAATTATTCACATCATTCACTTGAACTCTTACTTTGGTCCAGTGATGATGAACATCCATGGTCCCCAGCATTACGTGGCCTGCAGCACTCATTCCTGAACGGTCTGTAAATATCAAGGTATGTCCTAAAGAATAAATAAAGATCTTTAGCAATTTTGGTTATTGTAATTATTCCCGCTTATTTACAATTTATCCATGCTACTAATATGTCACAAGCAAAGTATTTTGCAGCATAAACAAAAATGTGTGTTTTCATTATTCTCAACATTTGAAAAAATGATTCTTGAAAACTCCTGTTCAAGGATTCTTTCATACAAACCTTAATGAGGATTTGCCTTCTCCCTGTTCAAATTTGATAGATTTTTAGGTATTTGTCCAATATATTATTAAAGATTTTCAAAGATAGAGACCCACTTCTCTAGTGCTTTATATCCTTAGTACACTTAGGTAAAAAAACTAATCTGAAATTAAATTTAAACGTATTGCTTACTGTCCTAACCTTTCTGCCTTTTGACAAAGTATTAAAAGAACCCTGAAAGCCACTCAAAGCTGAGTATCTGAAGAAAGGCATAAATGTGAGGTTACAGTTAAAGTAAACAGCTATTGCCATAGGCACTAAAGAAAAATAATCAGGATTACAGATTTTTTTTTTTTTGTGATGACACAAACCTTCAGTATAAGTATTTTATGGAACATACATGGCAACAGAATACAACACCACCATTTTAAGAGTATCAAGAGCACTTGCGAAAAAGCAATACAGCACCCTCATCACCAAAGATTCATATGCATCTTGGAATCAACACTATACTAGGATATGTGAGTACAAATCAGGATATACCTTTCACATTTTTTAATGCTTCAGGTCTTTGTTGGACTAAGCGACCTAGACTGTGTAGCTGGCTACAGCGATGAGCGACACCCCAGCTTCTCTGCCACCTAAGTAAAAACACAATTGAGAGTCCTTCAGTCTCAACATTATATGAACAAGATTACGGGAGTTGAGATATAGCCGAGAGCCTTAAAACACAATTGCTCACACAAAATAACACTCCTTGAACAGGAATAAAAGCAATAGACTCTACTGAAAAGTTGTCCATGCCATATACTGTTTGTAGTTCTATATACTATTTGCAGTACTATATCCTATTTGCCAACAACAATACGTCCTAAAAACAGATAAATGCGTAAATAAAGTAAACGCATCTAAGAAAAGTAATCACAAAAGTTACTAGATGGTATAGACATTAAGAAGCAAATTTCTTCCCTACCAAGAAGGAGGAGGGTAGGTAAACAGCAATATGCAACCCAGTATTTGATTGAGTCATGCAGCATGCAGCATGTTTGCACATTGTGTAATGTTTGCCTACAGGAGCAAATACTGTATACAAGGATACAACAAAGTTGATTTTTTTTTTATTTTTTAGAAATAAAAAAAATTGGTGATTTTAAATATACATCGTTTTGATATTTCTTTCATCACAAACAAAACAGATGAACTAATAATTAAATTTCAAAGACCGTCTAAATTGGAAAGTTGTCCCAATATATAAAAAACCCTCAGGTTGATTTAAAACAAACTCAGAGTTGGAAATTATCATTTCTCTTGTTTAGAGAAAACTGTAACTGGCAAAAGCCATCTTTGGGATAGAGAGTATGGCACTATGCAATGACACTTACAAGACAACTCAGCCTATTATACTGAAGTCATTTTAATACCAATTTATTATTACCTAGCAATACCACTATGGCTTTCACTAGAATAGACTGGAGCAAAAAAATATATTTTTCAGATCAGTCCTCTCTTCTGCTGTCATAAACTTAGGCACAGAACAAAGTCAATGAGCCCACTCTATTGTTCAAACTTCTGCAAAAACTGGCATTAGACTACATGATCACAAGTAGCAGTTTCCTATTACTAGTCAGATTTTTGACAACTTGCATTCATTTTTAAATTATGAAAAGTTAATACTTAACAAACTCCAAAAGCACGAACTCAAAAAAAAAAAAAAAAAAAAAAAAAAAAACCAAGTCCAGGCATTTTAAATTTTTGGGATAGTGTTCAGTATTAAAACGAAAACATTCACTTCAACACAGTTACAGAGAACTAGAAATTGCGTTCAGAAAGACTGACTTCAATCTGAGGAAGATAAGGCCCTCTATACAGAGAAAGGAAAAAAGTCTTGGCTTCAGAAGCTCCAATTCCCTCTGGAGAATCTTATTCTCTCCTGGCTAAAAGAACTTAACAGACTAGCCTTTCATATGCTCCCAAAGTTTGTTCTCCGATTGCTTAACAGACTTTAGAATATTCTTTCTTTAACTTTGTCTCTTCAAATAAGGACGATGAAGTATTTTCTGAAAAATATTCTGAAGAAAAAAAGAGAGGACAAACTGTACTCTGTCCTTTAAAGCAAACGAATCTTCTCTTCTAGAATGTGGCAAAAAAAAAAAATGCAAGAGAAGAGCATTTCTATTAAGACTTCACAGGATGTCAGTAAATACGTGCAAAGCTGCATTTCACGGCTAACATAGTTATTTTAGTAGACATGCATTTGAACTTGGGAAAAGCAATCTTATCCAGCAAAATACCCAAATGAAAGCAAATGCCCAGGTCCTATTTGCTTATGTGCTTGCCTCAAATTGAGCTTGTATTATTAGTCTTGTCTCAAAAACGCTACATAATTTTGAGTAGATTTTACCTGGAAAACTTTGTCCCCATGGACATCTGGAAAGCCTCATTCAGTGCAACAACACTTTAATACATATGACATAGAGCTATTTTGCTGGAATAAGCTTTCTGACCTAATGACACTATATAGCGCTTCCTTGATTTGACAAATTTTTAAGGCAAGTTCATCTGATTAAATTTATTACCTGATATCAGACAGCTGGAGTTGATGAGAAAGTTCAAATTTCAAGCGTTCTAATTCTTCTCTAAGAGGTAAACTCTTCTTCAGCTTTTTTACTGCATTTGCTTCATTATCATCTAACCAGGATCTTAGGAAAAAACAAAGTAGGGCATGCCATATTATCTGTCATGCAAACAATACAACTAACTAAACTCCTTATGTGAACTGGAAATAAAACATTAATGTTATATGATAAGGGTAAGTTTTAAAAGCAGAGGACAGAAATTGCTAATATTGCTAAATACTTTCCCTCGAGATATCTATATAGGAAAATCTTGCTCTTAATCTGATGGGGAACTAAGCAATCAAGTTAACAGGAATACTTTGACAGTGTTAAAACCCTAAGATTTTTCTGAGGGGTGTGAAAAGTACAGAGAAGTAAATCAGTGCAATTTAAGGCAGAGCCTCAGAGCATAGTGCTTTAATGACAACTGGGGTACTACACACACTTCTGTCTTAAAAGATAATAATAATAAACAAGGTGATCCTAACAGACCATCAAATAAGGGAGAAAATACTGAAGCGCCAACTTGGGCGACTCTTGCAGTGCTGGGATGAATGTAGATGCATGGGTCAAAATTTTACAGTTCTTCTGTTACACAAATCAGGGAACTGTAGTCACAACCAGGGAAGCAGGATTCGTGGAGCACATCCAAGACTTCCACCAAGTGAATTGTTATGTTCCTAGAAGGATATTACTCTAAGTCATTTAGCACTTCACTCAAGCATAACCTTGGAAGATAAATTTCACTCTATTTTTGTTTAAAAAAAAAAAAAAAAAAAATCAGTTCTTCCACTATACTCTAAAGGAAGGGGAAAAAAACCCCTCAAACTCAAAAATAAGGAGACAAGTTCAAAACCAAACTGTCAAGTACTAAAAGCAGACTCAGTACGATTTTTGTAATAGGTTAAATATGTTTTACAGTACCATGTAATGCACTTTTATTTACGAGATGCTAGATAAGATAATGGGTAACTTTTGCTCCAAAGATATTATCACTTCAATTCCATAATTTAAGCTAATACAATCCTCATTATTATAAAAAAGGGGCTTGGAGACAGTATTTTTATCTTGCAAAATTAGCAGATAAAAGCAGTTTATAAATAACAGACTTCTAAATCACCACAAGCTTCATTAAATGGAAGTTTATTTAAATAATTGCCTCGATCTAAACATTCAGAGCTCCTTTTTCTGTGTGTGTGTGTGTGTGTGTGGAGATTGTGATAATAAATACTAATGATAAAGATGATCGGCTTTAATGTCGTGTTACCCAAGTCCTGTAGGATGCAAGGAACTATTTATAGGAAGTAAAATGTCCTGCTTCCTTCTAGATTGTCAGTAATATTCCACAAAGCTGAAAAATTAGATCACCCAAACATGAATGCTGGGCAAAGAGACACGAATGCCTTGGCCTAGCTGGCACTAACCTATCCCAAGAGATCATCTGAACTCTTTTTCATTCTACAAGTAGAAATATGAGGAAATTACATACTGGATGATAATATTCTATATGGTTTAGAAAGACTACTGATCATCTTCAAAAAGAAATAAAAAACCCACACCAACAGGCTCAAAGTAGTATTCAATATGACAGATTTATTCTATGTGATACACATATATATAAAAATTAAATAAAAATATACATACATTAGAGTTGTTTCTACTCTCCGGGCTTGTTCTATTTCTTCCTCAGGATCTTTGAATCCAGTAAATGAATAATAAGTCTTATCCCATTTGATAGGTCTGTTCAGCACAGCTTTTGCTTCCTTGCGGGGCTGAGAGTTCACATGCAAACTCTGAACATGCTCCGTTGATAAACTGCAGGAGTTGAGAATAGCTAATACTGTGCTCAGTAGGTCCCTGGTACGTAATGTAAAACTGACTGCTCGAAAACCTAAAAAAATAGAAGTCCCACAAAAATTAGCATTATTTGATTAAAAGTATTTTTAAATGCATTCACACTTCTCATCTTACAAGAGGCCAAAAAGGTGTGCATAGGTATTGATGTGGAAATTAAGACGAAACTTATTTTAATACTCACTGCAAAATTCTAAAATTCTAAGCATATCTTAGCCTTTAAAATTGTATAGGTCCAAAAATATTAAAAGGGAGCTCTTCCAGCTATCTTAATCATTGGACAAGTTGGAAGCTTAGCTACAGTTGAAGCAAAAGCAGAAAAATATTATTTTGATTTATCATTGGCAGTTTTGTTCGACAGCTCTACACACAATATTATATCATCAATTCGGATACGATTCACTACAGCAATGCGGTACGGTAACAACTCAAACTCCAAACTAAAGCTTCAAAAACACTTAACGGTAACACACTAAAGCTCAGTAGTTAAGTGAGTGGACTAGCTTCCCCATTATAAAGCAAGACAGTTTCACAGACAAAAGCAGAACAAGGCTGTCAGTTCAAGTTTTATTTTAAATAAAAGTGGACAACCCACTAGTATTTTATTGGGCAAAAAACAAGTGTTCTAGTAGTAGGATCCATCAAAATTTGCTCAAGGTTTTGGACCAGCAGGATACAGAACACAATGAAAATGCATGTGACGGATAAGACAAACTAGTTCATTTAGAGAAAATTTGTGAAATAAAATTAATCAAAACAAGTATTCCAAACCTGCCAATATTTTCTACAGTCTCAAAGCTAAACAATGTATGGTAAATTAAAGCCTGCATATGTTATAAAATATCCACTTTCAGAATTCCACTGATTCCAGAGCATTATAGATCACAGAGTAATACCAATTCTACAGCACTGATGCTGATTATGCACTGTCTGCAATAAGTAACTTTTGCTCCAGTTAGACAAGAACAATGATATTAAAAGCATTAAAATAATTTCCTTTAACCTATGCTTTTTTATTTCACCATACTGTAACTTGGTCTAAATGTTACCATAAAGTCTCATTCTTGCAATATTTTATTTAGATCTTAAGATGTCTAATTACTTTGGATGGTCTTAGCTGTGTGGTATAATGCGTATTTTCATGGTTTGACAGGATTTTACTTAAGTGAGTAGGTAGTGTGACTGTGTAAAGAAATAGCTTTTTAAAAAGAATTTTAACACAGAAAGTTACTGTGTTAACTTTCACAGAGCACCTGAAGCACTGAAGGATTCCTGAGCATTACAGGAGTTCGGTTCACTTTCTCTTACATAAAAAGTAAGACGAGTTGGCTTAAAAGAGCGAAATCCTGGTTTCTGCAGATTTTCCAAGTAGCCATTTAACCTCTTCAGAGAATTTTCATTTACCTCCTATTACAAAAAAAAAAAAAAAAAAAAAAAGAGAGAGAGAGAAAACAAACATTAAAAATTTGAATAAATCTTACCTTTAGAATCTAATATGCAGGTTTAACATGTACAAACTTCCAACTATTCTAAATAAACAGTCATATAGTTCATGTTCTCAATAAAACTGAATAATTATCTTGTCTGAATAAATTGTAATGATGATATTGGTGCATTCCAACAACAGATTCCAGAGACATCATTTTCAAGGCTTTCAAACTTACAAAAAAACAGCATTATCAAATATAATACATACTTCAAAGTGGTAAAGAAAATAATACATATTATATCAGACTAGAAGGACTCATTTACCAAACCAAAACAAAAAACCCAAACATGTCACTGAAAGATTTTTACCCTCTCCTTGGGATGCTGGCCAAAGAAATCTGGATGCACAGCAAAATAGAAAGGTCTAAGAGCATTGACGGCATCAGCTCCTGATAAAGATCTTGACTGAAGAATGCATTTTGATAATATTTTCTCCAGGCATAACCTAACAAAACCAAGCAACATACATGTGAATGGAGTAAACACTCTGATCTTAAAGCATCATCATTTAAAAGTAGTATTTTAAGTTGGAGTGCTAGATTTTTTTTCCCTTGGGACTCCATGCAAAACTAACAACTTTCAGAAGTGGTGGATGCTAGCTAATGGCCAATATACAACATTTAGATAAGTACAACAACATTTTCCTCTGCCTTCTCAATGTATGAGCAAATGGAAATTCCCTAGTCAAGTAGCTCTTTTAGAAATACAAAGATTGGTTTTGGTGGTAGATTTTTGTAGCAATTCTCAAAGATGCTCCTGAAAGCCAAAGCTTACATACTTTCAGCCCTCCAAATAAAAAAGCACACTGCCAATATTTCCTCAAATTCTGTCAAAAGAGCATTACTTTTTACCCAGGAATAATAGTAGTATTTCAATCAGAGGCAGTCCTACTTCTGTTTTTGAAGTTCACATACTCATGCTAAACAAATTCAAATTTTCAAGCACATGTTTTTACAGAAGACTATCAAGTAAGAAAACCATTCTTCCTGCCCTCCCCCCCTTTACCTTAATTGAAAGGGAGGAAAATAAGGACAAAGTGAATTTCAAGAGTAGGAAAAGATCATTTAAAGTAAGAGCAGAAGGAAAGGTTATGTGGAAGTAATTCTAGAAAGTTAAGAAAGTACAAAAGATTGAATAGCTCAAATACGTATAAATTAGACAAGAGTTTAAAGAGCACTTTTGAGTAAGGGAAGACTGAAATGGTAGGAATAACAAGCTCTGGAGTAAAGACCATGAAGATTTCCTCCTATGCCTCAAAGCCAATATTCAGGTTAGCATCCTAATTACCGAAAGATTTTATTTAGATATCAAGTATATGGTACAACTGATAAATATTTAATAATAGCTTTTGCCTTTTAACTGATCTCACAGATGATGAAATTCATCTGGTCAATTATTTTCTCTCTGATTAGTTTGCAATTCAAAGGAGCATGGCTTCTCCTCACATCACCAAGGAAGCCCCAAACAGGAAAGTGTATAAGCAGGCAAAAGGCAAAACTGCTTCCCATTCACATAAAAGGAACAGTTACATTAAGTACTAGTAAGAAAGACTTTTACAAAGAGCTAGTCATTCTGCATCACTGATCAACTAATCATTCCAAGCACAGAAATATGCACAATCATTTTCTGCCAACTTTCATTTAAGAACAAACAAACAAACAAGAAAAAAAAAACAAAATTAGTCCTTGGACAATAAGCAGTATTTTTTGTATTATCAAATGGTAAATGCCAACACTTGAGCTGTCAAGAGGATGTGATGATCCTTTACTTTTTTTTTTTTTTTTAAATCGACTTTTCTAGCCCTTCGATTGGAAATGTGAAAATGGGTAGAGGTAACTGTTTCTCTCCATAAGAGGCAAGCAAATTATTTAAGGGGTCTTTAAAGCCAGCTTGATGGTAACAGGAAAGATTTTAGTAGAAATGTGGGAAGAAAGATCTATAATTTAAGATGACTGATGGAATTTCCAGCTGTTATGACCCAAGACAATTTTCAGAAGTGTTCATTAAACAGAAGGAGAAAAAAAAAAATCTTTGGCAATTGCCTCCGCCTTTTTGCTAGCTGCATCCAAAAGAGTCCAGGACTATCCAGCATTCTCGCTCATGATCCTAATCCGAAGAGCAATAGATGGAGTACCAAACCAACATTATGTTTTTGTGAAGAGTAAAACCACTGAATAAGAACACACTAGAAGAGCACTCAGTGACAGAGAACACACACACACAAAATCACACCTGTCCTGATGAGAAAAGCAGCAAATCAGTCTAGATAAAAATCCAGTCAGTCATATGTGTTACTATTTTAGATCGAGAAGAACTAAAAAGTCCTTGTCTTCCTGAGAAGGAAAAAAATTAAAAAAAAATAAAAAAGAGAAAAATATAGAAGCTCTCCTCATATTTTTCTTCTGCAGCAACTGTATGGAAGCAGTAGCAAAGAAAAAAATATTTCCAGAAAACAAAAAACCAGTCACCTACTTGATTGTGGCTTTGATTAACAGCCATGCAAGAAAACCACATTCTACATCCTTGTAGGAACCTCCTTCTACATCTAGTAACGGTCTCAGTTCTCTTCTTGCCTTGTTTACACCATTTCCCATATACACAGTCTGATTATTCTGCAAGCTGTTTCCAGTGGTTTGGAACGAAGATTCCAGCATACCTGTAAACTATTAATCTCTTCCCTGTAAACTATTAATCACTTCCATCTGGTATCTTTCAAGACAAATGGACAAGTATGGATAGCTTCAGTTCCCTTGCTTTGTATCTAAACAACGCTGTAGGCATGGCAGTAGGAAGGCTCAGGATTGCAGCCAAAAATCTATTTTGAACTTGCTTTAAAGAGAAATGCGCAAAGGCCAAAATTAGTCTGTGTGACAGAAGGAAGAATTCATTCAGTGAAGGTGAAAGACAGAACTTGGAGGCATCCTTCAAGGGACGTGACAAAAATAAATGGATTAAAATGATCTAGGAAGGAGAAAAATTCATGGAAAATGCTTGTGGCTTCTCTGACAAGGAGCAGTAGATTGTTTTAGGAGTCTTACTCAGATTGGAAGAGAAAGGAAAGGACTCGTGTCAAAATCAAGGTCATAACCACTTTGAAGAGAGCTGTCCCCACTTTATGAAACACAATCGCTACTTGAACACATTATGCAATTGTAATCTAGTAGAGATTTCATTTATTGATTCCCTTTTTTTTTTCCCCACAACTGTCTGATGTTTAACATTTTTGCTTATATCTTTGACACTGAAAAGCTGTGTTAAAATTAAGCTCATTATTACAGATATATAACTCTCCTTTTGAAACACTGAATTTTAATAACTCAGTAATACAGTAACGTATCAGATATCATATTCAGCTTTAAAATACCGCTTTCTCATAATTAAGCCATTTAAAAACCTTAGTTCTGCTTAGAGCCCTTTTGATATCTCACTGGAGCACAAGCATAGATGGCCTGGGAGGATTTCAGCTGTGGATACTCTCTTGAAAACTTCATTTCAAGATACAGATAGGTATAGATATGGAAGGTATAGATGAAAAAGCCCAAAGAAATAAACATTAAACAACAACAACAGAAACCCCACACAATCAGTTTCACATGTATTTAAGTCACAAGCAAAGACTATTTTTATGTATGTTAAAAGTAAGTTAAGTCAAGGACATGTCCTACCTTTTCCCGGCTCTCAAACAGCAAAACATTTCAGCAACTCAGCACTCAAGCCAACTTCAGCCATCCACCAAATTCACTTAAAAACAAACAAACAGAAAAACTTTAGTAATGGCCACAAGTATTTTTCCCTTGATAGATTGAATCACACTAATAATTAAAAAATGAGAAATTATACAAAAAGTCTGTTTTAAGAGCGTTTTCAGTCTTCTCTACAGCTTCTCTTGCAAATATTAAGTTCCTATCATACTATGGCTTGAAAATGAACATTTAGAGATGTTTCATTTTAGAAATGTTTCATTTTAGAAAAACAAAACAAAACAAAACAAAAACTTAAAAATACCTTCATTGAAAATCTCTCCCACTCTTACTGATGCTTAGATTGTCTTAATTTTTTGTCGAAGACAAAAAAAAAAAAATCTTCTTCTAGTACTAACATATAACATATACCAGTTAGTGTAATGCTATGCTATTTTTCACTTCTCTGACTTCAACATTTCCAAACAAATAATAGTATTTTTAAATTTACATACCAGCTATTTTTATGGGAGTACAATATAGAGTAACAAGGGAATGCAATAAAGCCTGAAAATCTTTGTTAAAAATTTACTGTGATTCAGAAAAACAAACCAGATTTTTAACCAGAGAGCGCAGCTACTTTTGCACTATGCAACTGTAATCTACTGTTTTGAAAAGGGAGATAAACCACCAAGTGCATCAGACACGTACTTAATTGTTATTGATTTGAACGCAATTTCCCTATCCTCAGTGTTTTCTGTTTTCAGTCCACTTTTCTAACTTTTCTTTCAACTTCTCAAAATAGAGTGAACCAAGTTTCTTCCACTGAAGCACCTCAGGTGAGCCATTAGTAAAGAAATACCATTCCTGTTGCACTGTAGCATCAGAGTTATTATGGCTATTTTGCAAAACACATGCAATTTTAAAAGTGCATCTTAGTAACACCATCATGCTGATTTAAGAATAGAAACTAATTATCATATAATTCATTGAAGGAAAGTAAAATAGGTTGAGAAAAAACATGCAGAGCTAAACCATCCCCAAGATAGCTCACAATTTTTATCTGTTTTTCAACCAGGTGATGATAACTATCTTATTTTTAGAGTCTCTAACAAACTGTCTTAAAAAATAAACTAAGTTAAGTTCATTAATAAACTTTCTGGTAATAAATAAATAAGGTTTTTCTCTTGATTTGTAATTTCAGTTTCAAGGATTAGGATAGAAGATGGGAAGAAACAAGAATCTCACTAATCTCCCATGCCACTTTATACAACCAGACAAAAGCATCATTGTTTCTTGATTCAAACATTTGATTGATGGTTTATAAGTTACTACGTTTCTTAAATACAGTCCCATGCTTTTGAATAAAGTTAACCTACATCCCACCTCACAGATATTCCTACTAAATAAACCTAAATATAAACTATACTGTAGTCCATGGGCCTAGTCACTAGTATTTTAACAATTTAGAATATATTTTAAGTACAGAGAGTATAGTGATAAAATTGACTTGAACATCCACCGGGGGTAAGACTTTTTTGACTTTTTTTCTTTTCCCCTGGCTTATTTAGCTCAGTTGTACAACCCTGGGCCGTTCCGCAGGCCGCCTGCCCCGGCTCGTACATCCGCACGGTTAACGCAGACCTCGAGCAAGGCCGAGCGGGGGGTCACGGCCCCAGGTTGGCAGGGGACTCTGCTAGCTGCGAGCCTCGGCAACGTGAAAACGCCACGTTTTGCACCAAAAAGGGCCTGCCTGCTGTGCGGAGAAGCGTCCTGGTCAACCAGTGACACGGGGAACTCCATCCCTTCCCTAAGGGACTCGAAAAAAAAATTATGGGAAAAATTATTCAGGGGGGTTCTTGACCGATGCCCGTTCCCTTAAACGGTAGCAAAGCAGCTCCCATGGGTGTGAGACAGCGAAGAGCATCCCCACAAACACCCTAGCAACAGATTAAGTCTGTGGAGGAGTGGGAGGTCGCGCCACTCTGAAGTGACGTGACGAGCGTCTCGCTCCCGGGGTCACGCCAAGTGGCGACAAAGGCGCGAAAACGTGACAAAAATAGTGAATAAATAAATAAATAAAC